AATAATGCTAGCTGTTGTCACAAACAACTTCTAAACTTCAGTGGCTTAATACAATGAAGATTTATTTTCCACATCATAGTTCCATGAGGATTGAAAATATGAGGCACCTGTATTTTTTTCCCTCTATCCATCTTAGTTTCATTGGGTGAGAGCCTACAAAATTGAGAAAAGACAGGTTAATAGGTGAAAAACAAACCAAAGTTTATTCACATGTGCATCCTTCATATACACTCAGTCATAGTTCCATGAGGATTGAAAATATGAGGCACCTGTAGAGGGAAATTTTTCCCCCATCTATCCATCTTAGTTTCATTGGGTGAGACCCTACAAAATAGACTGAGAAAAGACAGGTTAATAGGGATGAGAAATTTGAAGGGGTGGTTAGAACTTGGGCTTATATAGCATCTTAGTAAAGTACAATCATCTTGGAGGTGAGTGACCAGACAAGGGAAAAGGACTTTGAGCTTCTAGAGGTGCCAAATTGTGGGAAGGCAAATATATGGGGAAATGAATGGTAGGAAAGGGCTAGTTAGTAAGATTTGTTTGTGTGGACTTTCTCAGTGCCAGCTCATCTCTTCCTGGTACAGGAAGTTGGGGATAAGAGGACACCTTCACAAAAGGAATTTATATTCAGTTTTCAGGTAAATAGAGGGGAAGCCAGAAAGCTTGTTCTAGTCTGTTTTTTCTTACTTGCCTTCAGCTCAAAATGATCCTCAAGCCTGGCCAGCATGGCTCAGTGCTTGAGTGTCGATCTATGAACCAGGAGGCCACAGTTCAATTCCAGTCCAGGGCACATGCCCGGGTTGCGGGCTCGATCTCCAGTGGGGGGTGTGCAGGAGGCAGCTGATCAATGATTCTCTCTCATCATTTATGTTCCTATCTCTCGCTCCTTCTCCCTTCCTCCCTGAAATAAATTAAATATATATATATTTAAAATGATCCTCATGCCAGAGTGGCATATTTTGGGGTGGCATAGTCTGCTACCCTTCCAACCTCTGCACAGTTGAATTCAGGAGTGGCGCAGGCTCCTTCTTTCTGGGTTCTAGGGCCATGAAACCCTCCAATAGATCTTTTGTGTTTGGTTGGCAGATGAGGAAAGAGAGTATGTAAGGTCACGTGAGAGGTTTCTGGGGGGCCATGTCTCGAAGTGTCGTACATCACCTTCACTCACGTGGCATTAGCAGAACTCAGTCACATGGCCCCACTAACTGCGGGGGCGGCTAGAAAATACCATCTTCCGGTGAACCCAGGAGGAAGCTGCAACAGGACTGGAGAGGGGAACACATGGCATTTTCTCTGCCCAGGCAGATTTTAGCCCAGACAGGTCTGGGTATGGATCCCTGCTCTGTCACTTTCTAATTGAACCACCTCCACAAGTCACTCAGCACCTACGTGCACATGTGATCCACTTTTATTTCCTTATGCACCCCAATATAAAATCGGAAGGATGGCTCGCACATACTACTTCAGGGGCATTTGGGATGCAAGGAGTGATGAACAACAGCTTTCAGGAAAACTAAATGATTATTCTAGTTGGAAAGTGGAGGAATGAAACCCTGGTCCCAAAACTTATCCCGGGCCTTTCTTTCTCTGATCCCGTTTCAACTGCAGATAACTACATGTCTCAGGGACCATCTGCTCGGAGCTCTTCCATGCCGTTCTCCACACCAAGAAGCGTTGTCAGTTTTCCTTCTGCTCCCACAATGTCCTGTGATGCACGATCCTAGGAACTCGGAAAGTCTGGTGGTTCCCTTTGCACAGGCTGTTTGTAAAATGAGTGACCGATCTTTACGAGTCCTGAGTAAGTTTGATTCCTTTCATGTTACTTTATTTGAACTCTCAATAGAGTCACTGTCTGAGGTAGAAGTTGTAGCAAATTTTGAATAGATTTCAAAATATACAAGTACTTGGGTACATGATATGAGAATTATTGGAAAGATAAACCTAAAGCAATTCTAATCATTACTGTTATACCGTGCAAGGCATGTAGAATTCTTAGACTTGGACATGGCTTTGACATCAGAGTTTAGTAACCGTAGAGGATCCAGTCACAATAAAGCCGCTTTGAAATTTTTTGCTCGTGCTTTAGACATCTTAACCAGAGGGGATGAAAAAGAAATGTTAAGCTTTGTGTTCTTGTTTATTTTATTCACTACAATAGGATGTCTTTTTACAATTTTAAGCTAGTGTTCAAGGTCCAAACCTTGAAAGGAACAAAGGATATATACAGTGAAATATAAGCCACCTAGTTCCCCTCTCAGAAAGCAATTAGTTTCTTTTTTTAAAATATATTTTATTTATTTTTGACAGAGAGGAAGGGAGAGGGATAGAGAGTTAGAAACATCGATGAGAGAGAAACATCCATCAGCTGCCTCCTGCACACTCCCTACTGGGGATGTGCCCGCCACCAAAGTACATGCCCTTGACCGGAATCGAACCTGGGAACTTTCAGTCCGCAGGTCGACGCTCTGTCCACCCAGCCAAACCAGTTAGGGCTGAATATAGTTTCTTGTGTAAACTTTGAAAGATATTATGCATAAAAACACATAGAAATGCATTTTTTAGTGGCAGCATACCACTCACATACTTTGGCAACTTGGCTTTTCCCCATTTAACAGTATATCATGGAGAGCATTCTGCTGTTGAATCTGTAGAGCTGCCTTATTCTGTGTAATGTCTGAATAGATTGTATTGGGTGGATATACTATGAATACTTGTTTCTAAATTTTTGCTATCATAACAGTGCTAACATGCATTTCTTTGTACATTTGTAAATGTACACAGTCAAGGAAAATTCCAGAAAGCAAAATTACTTGGTCTAATTGTATATGCATTTTAAATTTTGAGAGATTTTGCCAAATGACCCTCCACAGAAGTCTGGCCACCAGGTAGCCCAACTTCAAGTGGCCGCCATCCACACTGTAGTCTAAGTAAAATGCACCCCTAGAGCTGGGCAAAGTACCCGCCAGGACACAGGATGTATGTTTACCCTTCACAACAAACATGACAGCAGCAGCCCGTGAATTCATTTTTCTACAGTGTTATCAAACTTTTCTCATTCTGAAAAAATAATCTCTTAATTTTCTCATTAAGAATGAGGTTGTGCTGGTTTTTTTTTCTTTTCTTTTTTTTGGGGGGTTTGTTTTATTAATCCTCACCTGAGGATATTTTTCCATTTACTTTTAGAGATAATGGAAAGGAGGGGGAGAGACAGAAAGAGAGAAACATCAATGTAAGATTGGTTGCCTCCCTCAAGAGCCCCAACTGGGGCTGGAGATAGAGTCTGCAACAGAAATATGTGCCTTTGACTAGAATCGAACCCAGGACCCTTCAGTCCTCAGGCAGACGCTCTACCCACTGAGCAAACAGGCTAGGGGTTACTAGTTTACTTATATCTCATTTCATTTGTATATCATATCTGATATCTAGCAGTTCTTCCCTCTTACCCATTTGTCTATCTGTTGTTAGTTTTTATTTAGGAGGTTTCAAACTATTATGGCAGCTAATCCTTTATCAACAATATGAGTTACAAATTTTTTCTTTAGGTTATTAAAATTGTTTTTACTTTGTGGTATTTTTGCCATGTATAATTATTTTTAACATGTTTATGAAGCCTACTATATTAGCGTTTTCCTTTATGGTTTCTTAGTTTGGGTCATACTTCAAATAGTGTATCTCACTCGGAAACAAAGAAACAAAAACATTCCCATGCTCCAACTAGAGTTTTTATTGTTTCATTTTTATGTTTAAATCTTTGATCCATGTGGAGTTTATCTTGATTAAATTCTTTTCTGGATCAGTTTCCACTTGTCCCCAGACATTTATTGAATGATCTGTTTCATTGCCATTAATATGCAATGCCACCTTTATCATATCTAACCTCTCATGTGCAGTTGGATCCATTTAGGGAATTGTGCTACATTGATCTGCTTTTCATGCATTTGGGTCATACTGTTTTAATGGCATTAGCTTGATAATATATTATAATGTTTGATAGGTTTATTTTCTGAGAATTGTCCTGTAAAGGTACAATAATCTAGACTGTAACCTCAGTAATATTAAAATATTGCTATTGATATAATTTTATATAAAAATATATCCGTATATACCAGGTGTGTATGAAGTCTGAAGACATAGATATTATTTTTTACAGATTGGAAATATCCTTGATGACATTGTATGTGTATATGTATTCACCTATGTATGTTCTCAGACTTTATAAATAACCTATAGAACTTTCAGTTTGACAATCATGAAATCAATCAAGTAACCAAGCATAAATATGAACTATCAACACATTTCTTTAGAATCCCGAATTTGAGCTTTTAATTCCAATGATACTTAATCAGGGAAAATATTTTTTCTGTAATAAATGTTGTCCAGGATGATATCCTTAGAAAACATATTCTATGGGTTTTGTAATCAGAAATGGAAAATATCTATTTCTCACATTAAAGAACCCAGTAGAAACTGAGGGAGTATTTTTTAGGGGGGCAGAGGAGTATATATTTATCATGGCTGATTTTGCATCCCTCAGAGCAGTGTTGGGCATCTTTGCAAGAGTCTTCTCTCAACACACTGGTCCAGATGCTTAAATCAGCCATCATTGCTCAAATGATTTATTCGGTTGAAACACCTCAGAATAACTGCAATCTGAAACCTCTTCTAGAAATGATGAAAGAAGTGTATAAGGTAAGTGTGCATCTAAAGGAATGTATATACCATCTTACTAAATACAAATCTTGTAGTTCTCAGCCAATTGGAGTCTTGTTCTGTTATGTTTTTCACAACAGAAAGAGAATATTTTATTCAGCCTTAATAATTCAAAATTTTGCTTGTTTTGCTAATTGGATAGACTCTGGAGGAATATATTACATATTACATATAATATATTAGATGCACAAACACTAGTCAAATATGAGAGTGGTTTAACATTTTCATTAGAGTGCACAGCATAATCTAGAAGTAACCAAGGTTAGGCTACTAACAAACTTAATATTGTTAGGGGACAGGAGAGGAGCCAGAGCATTTTCAATAAAACAAGAGAATTAAGTTGATATCATTCCATTAAAAATTAGCTAAAATAAGATGCTTTTACAAATAAATTGCTAAATGGCAATCTGAGCAAAGTTCACCATAAAATAACAATCTCAATAGGAGAAAATATTACATACAAGGGTTAATGCTTTTCAGAAGTACTATTATAGTACTACCAGAGGCCCGGTGCACAAAATTTGTGCATTGGGGGGGCAGGGGAGAAGGGGTGTCCCCTCAGCCCAGCCTGCACCCTCTCCAATCCAGGACCCCTTGGTGGATGTCCGACTGCCAGTCTAACCGACAGTCTGGGGATGTACAACTGCCAGTCTGACTGGCAAGCCAGCTTGGTCGCCCCTCCCTGACCCCCTCTGGCGGACTGGTCACCCCTCACTGCCCACCTCTGCAGGCATGGTCACACCCAACTGCACCCCTGCCAGCCTGGTCGCCCACGCAGCCTACTGCTCAGTCGTTTGGTCGGCCCTCACTAACCCCCCTGCTGGCCTTGTCGCCCCAAACAGCCTGCTGCTCAGTCCTTTGGTTCGCCCTTCACTAACCCCCCCTGCTGAGTAGCAACATTACAGTTATGAAGTAGCAACGAAAATACAGTGGGCCTTGACTTACGAGTTTAATTCTTTCCGTGACGGAGCTCGTAACTCAAATTACTCGTATGTGAACGAGTGAGACACGTGATGCTGGGCTGATGTTGTGGCGTTCACTGTGACGTTCGCTGTGCCAACTAGCGGTGGGGTATCTGAAGCTGGCTCATAACCCGAATTTTAGCTCGCAACTCAAAGCAAAAAATCGGCCTTGAGACGGCTCGTATCTCGAAAAACTCTAGTCGGGACACTGGTAAGTCAAGGCCCCACTGTATATAGATTTCTAAAGTAGTATATTTCTTTTTTTCTCCAGCTTTATTGAGATATAATTGACATATAACATTGTGTGACTTTAAGATGTGCTGTGTTGATTTTTGATACACTTTATATTTTGCAAAATCATTAACACCATAGCTTTAGCTAACACCTCCATCACCTCATGTAGTAATTACTACTTGTTTATTGTGGTGATAACACTTAAGATCTACTTGTAACTTTAAAGAATATAGTACAGTGCAGTTGACTATAATCACCATGCTGTACATTAGATCCACAGAACTTATTCATTTTATAGTTGGAAGATTGTACACTTTGATCAACATCTCCCCATTTCCCTCACCCCCAAGCCCCTGACAACCATCATTCTACTTTCTGTTCCTATTAGTTCAGCTTTTTTAGCTCCCACATATAAGTGAATTCATACCGCATTTGTCTTTCTCTGTCTGCCTTATCCCACTTAGCATAATGTCCTCAAGGTCCATCCGTGTTGTCCCAAATGTAAAAATTTCCTTCTTTCTCATGGCTAAATAATATTTCATTATATATGTGACATGATGAAAGAAGTGTATAAGATAGATGAATGAATATCACATATTCTTTATTCATTCATCCATCCATGGATGCTTAGGTTGTTTCTTTCTTAGCCACCATAAACAAGACTGCAATAAACATGGGGGTGCAGATATCTCTTTGAGAGAGTGATTTAATTTCCCTTGGATATATACCCGGAAGTGGGATTACTGGATCATATAGTAGTTCTGTTTTCAATTTTTTGAGAAACGTCCATGCTGTTTCCGTAGTGGCTGCACCCATTTACATTCCCACCAACAGAGCACAAGAGTTCCCTTTTCTTCACATCTTCACCAACACTTGTTATCTCTTGTCATTTTGATGGTAGCCATCCTAACAGGTGTGAAGTGTTATCTCCTTGTGGTTTGATTTCAATAGAAATATCTATTCAGTTCTTCTGCTCATTTTATTTTTTAAATATATTTTTATTGATTTCAGAGAGGAAGGGAGAGAGAG